TCCATTCAGAATAGATGGTTGGATAAGGGGAAGTATATAAGTTTTATGTTGAAGGGGAAACATAGAAAGCTCTCTCTGTCTCTCTTCTCTCTCTTTCTCTCTCTCTCTCTCTCTATATATATATATATATATAGGTGTGGTTGCATAAGATTGTAAACTTAAGCAGTCATAGTAAGACATGCCTCCAAACTTTATTATGAGATGTGATTTTGGTGTAAAAAATTCTCAAATTGCCAAAGAACCTTTTTTTATCTATAATTATAACATTTTAAACAAGGTGGTCACAATCAATATTGTCCATCAAATTTTAAATCAGGTGGTTTAAATGTGTCACTAACTACCCTCAAAATTCAAAAAAATATCAAACTTTGCGACACTCTACAAACCATCCAATTTAACATCTAATGGTTAGGTGTGATTGTGACGGCTTTGTAACAATGCTAAATCGTCTTACGGTATACGATTCCAATTCATATATCAATGGATAGAATTTAGCGCGAAAAAACCAAATTTATCAAGATACATTTAAGATAATAACTATTTAATTTTTTTTTTTTAAAGTTTAATAACCATTTAATATTTTATCTATATAAACTGCACCCATTAACGGATGCCTAAATTGCTAATATCTTTAAAGCTTTACCAAGGTTTCCAAGGGTCCAGATGAGTTAGGAAGCATCAATTTATGTGTCTGTCTAGTTTTAGCCTTTTTTATGGATAAAATGGTGTGTATGCTACATATATGAGCAATGATCTAATGCAACGGTTGTATCATAGTATAATGCAACGACACTTCTAGAAAATCATGTTTGTGGTATTTGTATGACTTTAAATTTTGCACATACGCTCTCTTCGTCTCAATAAACAATCCTAAAAAAAAAAAATTTGTTAATTTGAACCTTAGATATAGTCAAAATGAGTCCCCCTCCAAAAACGAATCTAGACCATTCATTTTGTGAACTTCAAGATCTTAGCCTTTATAAACTCAAAATCATTTTATTTCTTTTAACATTGTTCATCTAATAATAATAAAACCATCTAAAAAACTTAAAAATGAAAAAATCCTTTTAAGACCTAGATCGAAGAATCTCACCAAAATGGACGGCCTATGTTAATTGAGCTAAAAAAATGCTTTCTAGGTTGTGTTTTCAAATTTTTCTTTTTTGTAATTGTTCATTAGAATGAAAAGAGTGTATATTTCAAAATTGAATCAAACAAATGGTCATAAGATAGTTTTTTTAAAGTTATTGCATCATGTTACAATACAACGGTTGCATGAAATCATTGCCCTACATATATATTCAATGTCTACTTATTTATGGAAAATTTTTGTATAAGTGTCAATCTTGTACTGTAAAAGTAAAGTTGACTTCAAAAATTGACCTCGAAAAGTTGTTGACACTAAAAAAATCTCCAATTGTCCATCTCTCACCCTTGAGATGTTTGATACGAAAAAGTGAATTTCAAGACCTCAAAATAGCACACCATTAACATATTATCCGAACCATTTTTGTTTTTTTGAAGTTTTTAAATATTTATAGATATGCTTGATCTTTCTTATTTTTTAAAATACATTATAAGAGTTTTCGACACTTGAAATACATCTTTTAGCACCGTTTACAAGTATGCTATCTTTGATAGTTTAATGTTGAGACTTGAGACCTTATATGAACCGTCCCCCTTTATTCGTAACCACGGTTTATATAAGGCAACAACTTCATTTGTAGAAAATATTATCATGTTCTACACCATCCACTTTAGTTGGATGGTGTAAATTTGACATGGCCGTGCAGATTATTACAATTTTATTTTTACAAAAACTAATTTTTAAAAGTAGATAAAAAATAATCATGTACTTTTTTTCAAATTTCATTTTGACATTTAAGAAAAAAAGTTACACACCTTTTCAATGAACTTTTGGGATCAAAACTGAATTCATACCTTGGAGACTTATTGCCGTGAGGCTGTTTGCTATCTATCTACGGTGCGGTTTCATGTAGGGTTGCAACTTTAAACAATCAAAGTAAGGCGCACTTTTAAATTTTGTCTTAAAATATAATTCTGGCGTAAAAAATTCTCAAGATGACCCGAGAATCCATTTTCATCTCTAATTATAAAATTTTAAATTTCAAAAGTGGTTCAAATCAAGTAGATCTATAAACACTTGGAAATCATGAAAATGGATGGTCCATATAATATGTAGTAAGATCCATTATTTTTAAAACTCAATCTTTATATATATATATATATCAATGTCGAGATGATCTCTTACGAGGTTTTCCAATATCAAAATAGATTTATCGTATGCGTTTTTGAGATGCGCTTAAATTCATCATTTTATTGTTGCAACTGTATTTCAACAACATTTCCTATTAGATAGGAAGACAATTTTGGTATTCTCTGTAGAGGACCATGGTCAATGTGGACCTCCACGTGAAGAGGGAGAAAGGGACAACTGAATGCTCCCAAACCTCTCAATAAAATAGGGACAAATCCATGGTTGATGTAGTTTATCTGGGTAAATTAAATGTCAATTGGACCAGATAATTATATGGGATAAAAAATCAATATATCCTCCTCAGCATATTGTCAGATGGAGAGAATTTAGTGGGAGAAAACATAGGGATAAAAACAACAGGAAATTTGTCAAAATTTATTTTCTATATTAACCATTTAATAGATATTCATATGTTTTGATGTAATTCCCAAATATACATCAAAATATTCTAGGAAAATTTTAAACAGCCCCCGTAACACTTTTGATAACACACTAGTACAACCCGAATAATATTTTTTTCTGCAACCAACCCTGACTACAAAGCACTCTTTTTTTCCTTTTTTTTCCATATTTCTAACTTTCTCTCTACAAGTTCAGAGCTAAACCCGTACAACTTGTACAGAGCTGGTCCTACACGTTTTTTGTGCCTGTATGGCTCCATTTCTACTTGTGCCAGTCCAACACATTTTTGTGCCTTATTAGTACAACTTGTATAGAGCCGGTCCAACACATTTTTTGTGCCAGACCACTCCTATATTCAATTCGTGCCAGTCATGTTTGGAGGCGTGGGCTAAAACATTGAGGTATTTTAGTAAAAAAAAAAACTTTTTTTATTTAAATGGTGGTTGCAAAGAAAAATAATATTAAGGTTAATAACGTGGGATCAAAAATATTAGGAGAATAAGAAAAAAAATAGTATTAAGGTTAATAGCATGGTATAAAAAAATTTAAGGGGAATAAGATGCCAGTATCTATAATTTTTCTTATACATACTTTTGAGTAGAGGAATGAAAAGGAAAATCTTTTGATACAACTTTAATTCTACAAAATCAAGTAAAACCTCACGTCAAAACTCACATAAAATTGCAGTTTTGACATAAATTTTTTTCAAATCGATCATCTCGAACTTGATTATTATGATTATGAAAAAGATTAGGATTTTAAATCCTAAAAATAATAGACATTGTAGCATGATATCTAAACTTTAAATGTTCAGGTATATGAAAGATCCTTACTATATTTTAAACTACAAATCTTATAATCAAAATTAGAAAGTGATATCAGAGTCTAGATTTGGCATGGTAGTATTTTTTATAGGAGGCTTTACATTTTTTTACAAGGCCCAGACTTTATAGAAAGTTCATCTACTAGATAATTTAGTGTGAGAAAGTATGGGGAAAGAGGAGGCAAAGGACATAGAAAGAGAAAATATAGGAACGAACTAAATAATTGCTCAGCAAATGGTGGAGTAACGAGAGGCAGATCTCATACGATACTGTGAGGCCTCGGCCACATTGTCGTGTCTCTTTCTTACAAGTACAACGCACCACCACGCCCATGTGGCCTCCTCCCCCATCTCTCCCTGCAAACACAAAAGTCTTCTCTCTCTCTCTCCCTACTTTCTCTCCCCCCCTGCACTCATGGGTTTCACCGCAAATGGGTCCTCAGAGAAGCCTCTGAAATTCCTCATCTATGGAAAAACTGGGTGGATTGGTGGCCTCTTAGGCCAAATTTGCAGAGCCCAAGGGATTGCCTTTGAATATGGAAATGGTAGACTGGAGAACAGGTCTCAATTGGAGGCTGATATCGCCATTGTCAAGCCCACCCATGTTTTCAATGCAGCTGGTGTTACAGGAAGACCCAACGTTGATTGGTGCGAGACCCACAAGGTGGAAACCATTAGGACCAATGTGGTCGGTACTCTCACTCTAGCTGATGTTTGTAGAGAAAGAAACTTGATCGTGATTAACTATGCAACTGGTTGCATATTCGAGTATGATGAGGCTCATCCCCTTGGTTCTGGGATTGGATTCAAGGAGGAAGATACCCCAAATTTTACTGGGTCTTTCTACTCCAAGACGAAAGCAATGGTATCTCTCTCTTTAAGTCATTGTTTTTAGTATAAGAATTGGTTACTCGAATCTGGTTCATATGGGGGGGAAAAGGAATGTTGCTTTTTGTTTTTTTGTTTTTTTTTTTCTTGTTTTGTTTGAGTCAGGAATGTGATTGGTAGATATTTATGGTTTCCTTTTTAAGTTGGGTTTGTTAAAATTAGTTGGGAATTTTGTGGCCATTATGAAGTTTGGGTTTCAGCGGGGGCTTGGATCTGATAGAAATGGATTTATGGGTATTAACCTGGTAACTAATTAGTCATCTTGGGTGAGATCTCTAAACCCAACTACATCTAAGAATTTGGTCTCTAATCAGATCATTTTGTTTTTATGGCAGTAATTAGTGATATGCGCGATTTATGAAATACTGCCTTCTCCTTGATATGGGTTTCTTCTAACGATCAGATCTGGTCCTCGTCACCTCATTTTCACACGAGTTGCTTTCTTTTTTATAATGATTCGATGCGATTCATTTCGGTTCTTGATTGATACTTGAAATGTGTCCCTTTGGTGATTTGTGCTGTGATACTTCTTCCTTTTACTGGAGTTCAGAACCACATATTTTAAGATTGTTTTTATGGTCAGTAGTGATATCCTGTTCTTAACAAAAGACTTTGATGTATTCACATCATACCTCGGAAACCTATTTCCTGTTTTTGTTTGCACTACAGTTGTTCATCTTTGTTTGTTGGACCCGAAAGTGTGATCTTTCATTAGTATTCTCAGATACACTTTTAGAAGACGGCTGTTAATGGGCTTCTCTCTTGTGATTGTATATCTCCTTGAGATATAATTGGACTATTCTTATGCAAGAGACTAGTAAAAATACTAGTGATTAGAGAGAATTTCAGTGGAACTCAGAGCTTCATCAAGATGCCATTCACATCTCTTACTGTATAACCCGAAGCCTGGGACTTAGAATACCTTACACTTCCTTGTTTCTCATCCTCTCAGAATTTTAAAAGAATTCAACATTAGTATTTGCAATTCCTTGCTTGTAAAATTTCCTGTATCTGTGGATCCATTTAACTAGTGGACATTGTTGGGCAGCATTGGTGATTTGAGCTGGGAGAGTTTAATCTTTATAGATCACTTGGAATATGAAAGATAAATAATTCTAACCTCTTTTTCATTTTCAATTAAAACATGCTATCTTGACTCTGCATAAAGATGAGGCATGAGCTGGCGTGGCAACCTTTGTTGGGTGATTTGTAGAGAAATTTAACTTGAATAATGCATTAATAATTTGAACTTTGTATTTCAAAGAATAAATTTGTTTATAATTAAGAAAACCTGAGACATGCATTTCCAAAAGGATTGCAGAATTTCCAGCTCTCCTTAGTTGTTCTTGATCTTGTGCTGTGAATCTCCATTTTGGCCTGTAATCTGATGCTTACATGAATCTCAGTTTCATGATAGCAAAATGAGGCATTTGGGTATTTATTCTTGAACTTGATAACTTGAATATTCCTTATGCCCTTAAGAAGTTCTTAGAATATCACATCGAATTGTCATTTATTTGCTGTGCATTTGACAACTCTTCCCATACTGAACTCTTTATTTTCACTAATGTTATGTATCAATGTGTACTAAGAAATTTCATTATGTATAATCTGTATAGCATCAATTACGTGATGTATTATTATTATTAACTCGAGCACTAAACACCAAATTTCATGGGGGGTGAACATGAGGTGTTTTAGTGAAATCTCTGCTTGCTTTGATGTAGAGATTTGGTTTCCCAAGTGAACAAAGCAAATGTTTTACCTTCACACAGGGACAAAATTGAAGGGGTTTTTATTTCAGTGATACCAATAAGGGAGCCTTTCAATCTCTTGAAGAACGAGTCAGCTTTTCACATATTCTAAAACGAAAATCAATAAAACTATGGTAACCTGAAAATTTATAGAAACAATATTGATCAACAATATGTAAAACAAACATTTTCTTCATTCTTGGATAATGCACTAAAACATGGGCTGATATTCTTTAGGAACAATGAATTTTTGGACAGCTTGAAATCATTGCCTATCCTATTATTTATTTTAGTTAGACAATCTATTAAGGGAATATATTATTATCCAATGGACCATAGAAAACCATAGTCCATGGAAGTCATGAATCTTCTGGTCTCCCTCTCCATTTCTGTTCGTCATTTCATCAGATGGTTTTCCACAGTCTATTGGATTACAGCTTACTTTTTCACATATTTAACAGTTTACTGTGCAGAATTTTTAATCCCATTTTGCAAGTTTTGCAAACTACAATGACATATTTACCAACATTCAAGTAATGCAATTTATCATCTATCTCTTTATCACTCCTTCCTTTGGTGCATCAGGTGGAAGAGTTGCTCAAGAATTATGAGAATGTCTGCACTCTTCGTGTTCGTATGCCAATCTCATCTGATTTGTCCAACCCCCGCAACTTCATCACCAAGATTACCCGCTATGAGAAGGTGGTTAACATCCCCAATTCCATGACAATCCTTGATGAACTCTTGCCTATTTCCATTGAGATGGCGAAGAAAAATTTAACAGGCATTTGGAACTTCACCAACCCTGGAGTGGTCAGTCATAATGAGATTCTTGAGATGTATCGTGATTATATTGACCCCTATTTTTCTTGGAAGAATTTCACTTTGGAGGAACAGGCCAAGGTGATTGTTGCACAAAGGAGCAATAATGAGTTAGATGCCAGCAAGTTGAAGAAGCAGTTTCCTCAGCTTCTATCCATCAAGGAGTCACTCATAAAGTATGTTTTTGGGCCAAATCACAAGACTGCAAGCACTTGAAATCTTTGTTTTGGCATGGCCTATACTCAATTGCCGATCTATGTTCAGAGATGTGGCTTAATCATAATAAGACCTTAGCAATGGAACTTCAGTTCATGGTGGTATTATCTTTCTTTTTGCAGTAAAATTTGTTTCTAGGTATTGATTTGTTGATCTATAGGATGCGGTTATCGAACAAAATTCTGATACTGGAAGTTCATTAAATGAATGTCTTCTACTTCATTGATAACATTTTCCTTTGTGGTTCTTTCATCGTTATTTTTCTATTCAATTATAAAAGAAAAATCATTAAGTTGTTAATTGATTAGTTCATTTACAGATAAAGATGCATCCTGGTACTGTGTAGTGTACTGTTTGCGCTGTAATTGTGCAATTTCAACAGAAGGTTACACAGTTGAACATACTATTATTTGCCTATCTGCATCTAGAGCTGTTATTGTGAAAACTTGGCATTCCTATTATACTATGAATAGATTTGCATATTTAGTCCCACGGCTGAAAGTGAATGACTTATTTTTAAACTTTTCTTGATATGTTGAAGTTTGGTGTTACCCTTAACAGAGGATTAGTTTGTAAAAAGTACAGGGGAATTGGTTAAATATACAAAAACCACAACTCCAAATCCAAACTATGCAAAAATATCATTAACTTATTGTTTGCTGGAAAACTCTTTATTAAATACTAATACAATAGTGTTTCACACTCACAAAAAAAATTCATGACTTTTTACTGCTCTTATTTCTCCTTGGGAAAACTCTCTGCTGTCTCATCAGTTAACAATCCTGCAGTTAATCCTGACTTCACCATCCTTATCCTTCACACCTACCTCCCCCAGCTTGATCATGGAAGCTGCAAACTCTCTAAAGAATGCCCCTTGATCCTTTGCAAACAGTTCAACAAGCCCTCTGGTTCGAGGGTCAGTGAACAAGTCTTGGTCAGACCCAAACACTCCTTTACCTCCCATCAACCTTTTATAATAATTGTTATCAAATTTTCTCGAAGTGGAGTCAAGTAATTGGCCAGCATTAGGGTTCACATTGTGGGGAGGGCATTGGGTTCTAAGAGTGACAGCGAATTCAGGATTCATTGTGGGGTCAGAAAAATGGCTCGAATTGAAGTTACGAATCCGTGTTTTGAGGGAAGAGCAGTGGGAGAAACCAATAGTGTGGCCTCCTGATAAGATCACTAGGTCTTTTTTAGAGAGGCCTCGGTTTGAGAAGCTTTGGAGGAGCTGAGAGACATTGAATGTGGGTCCTGGTAGGCCTCTGGTGTTTGAGGCCTTCGAAACCTTACCATCTTTCCTTCCCTTCTTCATGTTCCAGTATGGGCCTCCTGACTGTAGAGGCAACAGGCAACATTGATTATTTTGGAAGGAAATGCAGTCGGATTTTGTGGAGAAGAAAGTGATAGAATTTTTATCAGATGGGTTGGTGAGAAATTGAGGGAGGATGGAGGAGCAGGTCCAATAATTCCTTAATGGAACTATTGCCGTGCTCATGGAAATGGTCATAAATGCTTTCACCATCCAATCAATTAATAGGCTGAAATCTTGAGAGAACATGACATGATGCAAGGGCTTGGTTCCACTCATGCTCGATCACCGTCCATCCATCAGTTAAATCGACAATGTATACACTCTTGCATAGAAAATAAATACACGCACACAACCTTGCATCCAGAAGTTTTATCATAAATCATAAATGCCCTTATAACTTAGATTAATCTGAATTTCGGAGGAGAAATGGAGGTGAGTTTTATAATCTGACTCTCTCACCCATTATTCCATCCTACTATCTATAATGGGTTTCAAAATTACCTCAAATATCCCATCTTGAAAGTTAGACTGACCGAAGGGTATTTTATGTTCAGAGGTTTGGAAGTACGATTTTCCGAAATCACCATTTGAGTAGTTTATTGTAGAAAACCCATATATATATATATATATATGGGTGGTGGTAGAGTGAGGGATTGGAAGTACCAGGGTTACTGCATCTCTTGCTGCTATAGTGAGGATGTCAGAGCATGAGACCGTTCTCGGGCAAACAGTCTCGAGCTTAGCTTTGGCCTGGTCTATCACGTAGAAAGAGCGCAAGGATACATTGGGTGGTGCATCTTTCTCTGCCTGGTTTTTAGGAGTCGAGTCTAGTAACACTGATGCGTCGCATCCCTGCCACAGAAAGTACGACCAAATTACATTTAAAACCTTGGATATACATGGGGTTCGATCATAGCATTATTGCACTGAATCCATGGGTCCTCCTAGCTAAACATGCTTGCTTTAGAAAGAGAGAGAGTTTAACCGTTATGAAGCAGTCGTGGAAGAACATTCTGAGGATGCGGGGCGGGACTTTGGAGTCGTGCATCGATGCGTTCCATACAGTTTCAGACACCACCCTCTCCACTTGAGGGCAAGTCCGGTCGTAGTAAGAAGTGCTCAGCTTTGCCTCTGAGCGAATTGTTCCGCTGCCCATTACCATTGCCACCAACACCAGAAAACCAAGCATACCCATTATCTTCTCTTGAATAAATCCAACTGATTATTATTTTTTTTTGTTTCAGTTACTGAAGAGATTCTTTGCGTGGAAACTAGCCTATGGGTGGTTCCCATATATAACAGCCATTAGTAGTGAAACCTAAGCAATGCTGGTAATGAATTCTAAAATTTTGGCAATTTAAGCAAACAATGAAAGTACACCTGGTTTTGATTCTTGGGGTTTCTTTGCTTTTTGTGTTTAAGGCTTCTAAGCCACTCCTAGAGTTTCCAAGATAAGGAGAGAAAATGGAAATAAAAAAATAAAAAAATAAAGTTATTAAAATTAAAATAACTGAATTGCCCCCATCAAATGAAAAATGGAGGGGAGTTTTGGGAAATTGAATTACGAATGGGATGGGATGTTTTTGGTGAATAGAGTTAAAAGGTAGGGTTAGGAGGAGAAGAATGGAGTCTAAGATGCGTGAACAGTGTGTAGAGAGTTTGGCGCAGCGTTGTTATCGCAGTGGGACTGGAGTGGAGGGGAGGGTGCTCGACTTTATTTGGTAGAGAGAGAAAGAGAGAGGGGATATACTTTTTTTGTGAAGTACATATATATAGAGAGAGAATGTACTTTTTTTTTTTTTGAAATACATGTACTAATATTTGGCAGCTCTAGATGGATGGACAAAAAGATAAAGGCCTGAAATACCAGGGAGAGAGAGGAGAGTTTTCGCTCAGTGTTTGTGTTTTGGGGCTTGGAGGGAGAGAGTGAGAGAGAGGAGGGAGAGATTGTTGAGTAGAATAATATTTAGACCATAGTTGTTGAGAATCGATGGTGATCGGGGCTTTGGTTTAAAGATTGCTTAAGATTAATATTTGGCTGGTTTCGAGAGATTATCGATTAGTTGCAATAGTCAAACAAAAATGTATTTTGTATTTTTAGAGATATTAATTCTTGCATTTTTTTTTATATTTTAACAATACAATTTAATCGGTTTATTGTTCACTCAAACCAGTTTTGATTTGACTAAACCGAAAGGCCTATTTTAATCCTAATAATATTGATAGTATTGATCCGAAAATTTTTTTAAGCTCAATCATCACATACCCACGTCCACATGGAGAGAGATTGTGCCGCACACGTGCTAATCGTACTAGGATCCAAAGGGTATAGCCAAAAAATATTGTATTGGGTCGTCATGGCTCATTTTCCATGTCCTGATTTTCAAATCTCTTTTGGTCAAATTTGCCAAGTCGGGTTATGCTTTATTTTTTTTCATCCTGATTTTTTGCATAAATTTTTTTTTTTTTTTGACTAAGGGAAAGGTTTCTATACTTTTTTTACAGCATAGAAGATCTATGCTTTCCCTACCATCCAGCCGTCCAATTTTGATCAAGAGAGCCGATCATCATTTGATCTTAGATCTGACGTCTCAAAGTATTTTATTTTTAGATTTTTTATACAAATTATATGAATATGAAATTTGTACGTGTCATCTTCTCATTGGGGTACACCTATAAAAAATATTAAAAATAATTTTTTGATAAAATATAATGACTAAAATACCCCTTGAAACTTTCAAAGGGTATTTTGGTTATTATATTTTATTGAAATAGTTTTTAATATTTTTCGCTAGTGCGAGTTTAATAGAGGATTGGACGTCCAAAATTTGGTGTCAAAATTGTTTATAGAAAAAAAATTAAAAATAAAATAGTGTAGAGACGTGACATTGTGATTGGGGCAATCTTAGCCCTCCATTCAGAGTGGACGGTTTGATAAGGGGAAGTATATAAGTTTTATGCTGTAGGGAAAGCATAGAAAGCTTGCCCTTTACTAAATTGGTAAGTTAACGAACTTGTTATTGTGCATCCGCTTTTCCAAATTCCACATTAGGGATGTGAGGTAATTGCTATAAGGCCTAGTATTATGGAAATAAAATAAGGCCTCACCATAATTCTTCGTTTGGATAGCACTTTGGGCGTCGGAAGTCTATATGATGGTTCTAAAATCTATGTCCAACACTGAATATGAAATTTGAAGCTAAAAAATACTACATATCTTCTAGATCATTAAATACTTATTTTTAGGGTGAAATAGATGGTCTAGATAATTTTTTACAATATACACTTTTTAGCTATTGAAATCTTAAATTTTTTTACAACTATAATAGTTAAGATCGAGATGATCGATTTAAAGGTTTTTCAACAGAATAATTAACAATATACACTTTTTAGCTATTGAAATCTTAATTTTTTTTACAACTATAATAGTTAAGGTTGAGATGATCGATTTAAAGGTTTTTCAACTAAATAATTACAATTTCAGTGAGTTTTGAGTTGATTCTTTACTTATTTTGATAGGGCCGGTAACCAGAATTTATTTTACTCTTTTAGCTTTTGAAGTAATTGTCATCAACTAGCACTATCATGAGTGAACTATCAGTAATAACTCATCGAATCAGTTAGGTATCAAGTATAAACAACCCTTCATATGATCCCACGATACGATGTATATTTATATATGTATCTACAAATATAAGAATATCTATTTCTAATCTAATCTATTGTTCTGTATTTAGATTAGATTGCAAAACTTCGATTCAATTTCAAACAGCTATATCCACATATAGGTGCATTTATCCATATATTGTCTCTTTACATGAATAATAATGGATAACAGCTCTATTATTTGCGTCCAGAGTTATTTTATCCTCTCCTTCCATTAAACTATAACTATATGTCGTCCATTTACATGAATAATAATGGATAACAGCTCTGTTATTTGCGTCCAGAGTTATGTTATCCTCTCCTTCGATTAAACTATAACTATATGATGATTGAAATAAATTGATAAGACTGGATCCCTAGAAAATATATATAGTCTTAAAAAACTCATAATTTGGACCACTCATTTCAAATTCAAAGATCACTGGATCTACACTATTTTGGAAGCGCCAAATTCGATCTGAGATAAAAATGTATCTATACGATCTGGGATAAAAATGTATCTATAGTGATTAACGTTGTATTTTGAGCCCAAAAACCATAGAAAACCAGAATGGATGCCTGTCTCAGTCAACCCAACAAAACTTTCCTCACTAAATGAGCCACTAAATCTACAAACCAAGCTTTTATCACTCCAACAGAATGCTAGCAAAGTGTAGCCAATCAATTACCCAACCATATAGATGAATCTTGATCCATGAATAATATAATGTCTAGTACCTGGTCATCCAAGGTATTGACATAGCTGTCCAACTTAAATTTGTCTCAAGTGGTTCAGAGTGCATAGCACATACTCCAACGAGAGCATACTGTACGACAACTGCCTCAGGCAAAATAGATACCTAGGAGGACTTTCTTATTTGAAACTTTGGGATCTATCTAAGTATCACTAAATCATTATTTTAAAATAAAAAATTTAGATTTTTGAGTTCTTGAACATCTAAATCTTTCCCTCGAAGGACAGTTCCCGTTCAATCTTGAACATTAGTTCTTTTGGCACATAGAGAGTACAAATTATTATTATTATTATTTTCAGAGGTTGGTTACTGGTTTTAGAGATTTCGTCCCTAAAATTTGGGATCTAAAAATGTTTCTAGCTAGAGTTTTGCTTGAGGGAGCAAATGGAGAGGCATGCTCCGGTGGGAGCATGAAATCTTTTCACATCAGAGAGCAGCATTTTTATTCATAAAAGGTAGAGACGATCAACACAAGTTTATACAATTTTGCATGGCATAGGGAAATGGCACCAACGTACAATAAGCATCATTTTATTCATTGCGGATTGTACACCATAAGACAATCTTTGTATACAATGAGCATCATTTTACTTATGTGATTTATGCAATAAGACCCTTCATCTTTGAGAAAAGCTCAGACTAACCTTCAGACTTAAAATGGAGTTGCAGAAAGTGTCATTTTTCCATACAAAGTTCGAGAAAAGTTTTCAAAGACTTTGAACACAGCCCATGGCACATCCCCAACAGCCTGATTTCACATCTAACGGCTGGTTGTAACCCTCTCACACGATTGGTAAACATTTTAATTGTATACTTTCCCTTTATTCATAAGCACGATACCATAATTGTATGAAAAGGGACATTTAAAGACCTCCAATATACCACTATTCAGATCAAGGCTAGAGAAGGCCCTACACAATGCAAAGTATTGCTAGTAGGGTGAAATTTCCTTATCATTTAGACTTCTATGTAGATGAATCGAAATCAAAAGAGACTACATAATTGAACGCCCCATATTAAAGAGGCTGCGGCCACATAAGTAAAACCGGAGTTTGTTTACCCTTCATATACAAAGCTCACAAACATCCGAAGTCATCAGATGTAAAATCGGAGGAATAAGATATGGCACTAGAAAAATTCTCTCAAACTTTGAGTAGAGTCAGTGGTACACTGTAATAGGCCTGATTTTGTTACATAAATACTACATCCGAGCGAAGCACATACTTAGCATTTCTTGAGACCACCCGGGCTTCATGCAACATACATTTATCCCCATGCAAGTGAAGAAGAGCCATTCCTTCCACAGGTGATACCTGTGGATGATATCTATTAGTGGTTTAACACAAGGACGGGGGTTGGGACTCGCTTGGTTCCCGAGCACAGTCAAGATACTATTATGTGGCCAGTCTGTCGGAGACTCAGCCACATGCTAAAAGAAAACAACAATAAAATATAAACAACCAATGCCAGTTCCCATGGTTTTTGTTCTGGACTATGAGCCTGAGTTGGACTTCCTGAGTTTTGATTCACTGATAGCGATCCGGTTTACATAAATAAAACTGGAATAGGGCATCCAAATTAGTATCTCGTAGACATACAATTGGAAGAAACCATTGAAGAAAACACTCATACATGAAATTGGAAGAAGCCATTCTGAACTTGATCTCATTCATCCAAATATTTTTTAATCTGATAGCACAGATCCTTTGTTAATAAATTCATTAAGTTAGGTGAGATTAACTTGAAGGGAACAAGAGGTACCTCAGCCACGATGCCTCCACGATTATTATAAAACACAGTTTCCCCTCCAACAAGAGATCGAGCAGAAGAATTACGGTCGCTACTTGAATTGCTACTAACTTTAGATCTTGGAGACCCATTTAGATAAATCAGTAGTGTGTATTTGGTAGTACGGCCATCTCCAAGCTCAACGCTTTCATCAATGTGCCTTCCAAATCTCTGACCAATATTGTACCTGTTAAAGCAAACTAGACTCTTGTAAACAATTGAATGAATAAAAATTGCAGAAAAAGAATGAGAGAGAGAGAGAGAGAGAGTAGGGATATGATATTCGGGAAACTTGGGACCTGTAAAATCTGATACTTGGGTTCAACCCAACAGCAACTTTTCCTCGAATTTTGATATCAGTAAACATATTTTGGAGGCCACAATGCCACAAAGTTTCTGCAAGAATGGGATCATTCACAGAGATGCGATCGTTGTCTCTGTATGCTTCTCCCTTTGCAGGACCCAGGCTGCCCTGATGCGAAAAACCCATGGACTCCGCAACTGTAATAAAGGCCCTTGATTCTGCAGCGGTCAAAATATCTGGTATCTGTAAAACCCAAAAATAGGAAGAATGGTGAACCCAAGATATATTTCGTATGCAGAGAGAGAGAGAGAGAGAGAGAGAGAGAGAGAGAGAGAGAGAGAGAGAGAGATGTAATCACATCCACAAGCACTTAACGCCATATTACAGTCTACAGAACACCTTCCATATCAAATGGCACAATGCAGCCGGTATGGGAATAAGAGCCGTTAAGAAAAGTCATAGTAGAATAAGCCATGCTTCATAGAATTATGTGTTGGGTTACAATAACTCTCTCTGATGCACAAAGAGGAATGCTGAATATCGGGATTCAGCTTGTGTATTCAATTGGCTAGAACTGTAATATGATCATGAGAAAGAAAGTATAAAAGCACACAAACCATAAGATATATGTGGTTCACTCCAAATCAGCGACATCTATAGGTATCACAAACTGAAATCCACTTTTGCTGTAAGTTACATCACAAGATTTTGGACATGGAGTTACCTCTTAAACTGTCTTTTAGACCAGCGCACATAGCCGATATCTAACCCATTTCTATTTCACAACTAAACCACTGTCTAAGAAGAGAAGATCAAAAGTACTAGAAATATTCCCTCGTTAAAGGGGAATACCACCCAAAATCTCCATAGAAACCGTTCTCTATAAGAATCCAAGCTCTCTCTCTCTATGCAAAAGGCACTTTCGCACCATTTCTGTCTCTATGAAGCTCAGTTCTCTTTTTGGATGTCCTGCCTCTCTATGTAAGAGGCCACTGCTTCTCTCTCTAGAGGAAGCCTACCTCTTCATAAGGTGATTCAACTAGGTCACAAATTCACTGTTATTCCACAAGTAAATATATAACCAATCCCCAAACCAAATCAGAAACTTCCTATAAATTTATAAATCTCAAAACCTAAGAGATAAAACCAAAAGTCTTAATCTAGTTGGACTTCACTTTTTATTTCCAAACTTACACCCAAGAATGGTACGATATCTTGAAGAGGTGATTTTGATGTCATCAACTCCAACATTAAGAACAAGCATTACCATTATAGATATTACATTTTAACAAAAACAAAATGTCCACAAGCTCTACCTTTCAATTACATTGAAAACATTTATAACCATTGTGATTACATATTCCTCGATAGTGCATTACAACCATAATCCGCCAAAAGATAGTACACTTTTGAGTTGACAGAAAGAAGACAATACATGGCTCTTGCATGATAAGTGGGTCCAAGTGATGGGCATCCACTGTTCCATGTCAGTGACAGATAGTTATATGAACCATACAGGGATGACTATCAGTTACTGGAAACTACAGCTACAGTGCATAGTTGTGAATCGTTGGCTGTCTGGTATAATTTTACCTATAGCTGAATACCAGTTTTTAATTCATTCACAACTCAAATATATTAATTTAGTGTAAAATTCAGAATGGGAACTGTATACCTTGACCTCAAATGAGTTAGTAAGAGTATCACAAGGAAATTTTTAGAAAAGAATCTGAACATGGAATACTGGTGAATCTAGTTTTAGAAAAGATGCGTTGAAAAGGATCCCCAAACCTTTACAAATAGATGTGTAAAAGTCCAACTATGATCAAATAGAAATTGGAAGGGACAAACTGAACAAACCCCATGGTTGGTCAACTATAGAGGAATATTATGAGGGCTTTGATCTTAAGATAATAAAAAGCCCACATTAACAAAAGCATAAATGCATATATCAGGAGAGTTGAAGATTAAGTTTAGTTTAGCAATCTCCTAAGTAAATTCTGTATCGCAATTTGTTAAATTGGGTTACTAACTGAAGTCCCCATTAGCAGGAACAACATTATAATTTAATGGAGAATTGCCAGTAATTCTACTTGTCTAAGATCTAGAGAGATGGATGTTCTCCAAGGTTTCACTTGTTGCTTTGCAAAAACAAGATCTTGAGAGGAAATTCTAAAGAGGAAATTCTAAATAGAAAAATTTCTAAAGCTGTCTCTTCCTTTTGAGCATCTAGCACTAAGTGGGGAAGAAGAATTTCTTTATCCTTTTTCTTTTTTCTAGACTATTAACTTGGAAGCTAGTGGGAATGGAACTCAGGACATCAAGTTATGGCATCTGCCACCCTAACCACTAGTGCCTTGAGCCCATTTCCCAGACGAGTTCTTGATCTAAACACGAGAATTGGATCCTTTTAACTTGCAAAAGGATCACAAAAATACTCCTAAGGATATTTGTGAGCTCCTATTGCAAATGTTACCCAACGTTCCAGCTCATGGCTGGTGTAGCATGTCGATACTTCAACACGTGTTGACACTTACATTTATAAAAATGCTCAAGTTAGGGTCAAAGCTCAGGTAATGTTGCGCTACCATTTTAAGCTCTACTACCTCCCGACCATTTTGTATGCGTTGTATATAGAGATTATACTACTTAAATCAGTACATAATTTTTTTATTTATATATAAAAATAATTGTAAGGACATGTATAGCCATATTGAGATTTTAGGCCAAAGTACTAGACCTACGACACGAGGTAACACTGCCCATAGCCTAATGGTTTTGAGCTATAAATCTCATTCCCTTTTTTGAAGGTCTAAGTTCTAGGCACCCATAAAATTGAGTTCTCAGTTCCTGACGATTCTAATTTCTTTCCAAAAGTTGGTGACCGTAGGAACTTCAAACGAAGGGACCCACATTGTTATAACAGAATGTTCATCATCTTCTACTGTAAAAATATTTCTTTTGCTAAATTAACCTAGTGAATTATTGATAAAGTGGGTATTTTAGATTAATTATCCAAGCTATTTTCTTATAGGAATTCGAAATTTGAGTTGGGCATGATCAAATCCCCCATCTAAATTGAGTATTCCCCTGATTTTCATATTTTTACATGTTATTCCACAATTTCTGGTGCAGAAATCATAAAGTTTTCTTGTGACAACATATAGTTTTCAGTGATTAGGAAATGAAAGCCACATAAGAGAGAGAGACAGAGAGAGTTATAATGTTTTATAGCAGAACCCATCTTCAGGAAAGCTTAAAAACCACATGGATAGAGCTAAATTGCATTATAAATGGATGCCATTAAGTTGTATTCAAGGAACATATCAGAAAGATAATAGATTTGGATGAGAAAAAATGTTTGAAGAATAGAAATACGTACCGTGAAAAGATCCAAATTCTTAAGTTGGTTTATTTGAACGTTGTGTTTAGATTTGATAGCAGGCCATGTTGATTTCTTCTTAGACTGCTTTCCACCGGCTCCTCTCTCTTCCATCTCTCTCTCTCTC